AGCAGTGCCAGAGTGTCCCCGCTCTCACAGTAAAGAACTTTTTCCTAATATCAACCCTAAATCTACTCTTTCAGTTTCCTCATACTTTGCTCTCCAGAAGCTGTGTTAACACAAGAGGCTTAGAAGATCCGAGTTTCACACTTCTACATAGTTTTGAAAACTGCAGCACAGCTGGAAATGCTACAAGGAAGAAGGTGGTAAACAGGAGCTGAGGTTGCAGCTCTCATACCCCACATTTTATCTCCAGAGTGCCAGCAGACATGCATTTCTTTGTTACACATTTCACCCGTTCAGTATTTCACCTGCTGAAAAAACTAGACAAGCATGAAGCAGGATCAGTCTAAGGATGGATCCTCACGCCTGAAGGTAACTCAGGTAAATCCTGCAGCCAAAGGTTTGGAGAGGCTGGCCGGGGTTAGCATCCTGCCCGGTGCCCATCGTCACATCACCACCAGGCTCCAAACTTCTACCAGGACAAAGAACAATTTGGTGTCAGCACAGGAGGGAGTCTGGGCTTGAGGAGGCAACTGCCAGGGGCCAAAGCCATCGAGTTCAAGCGTTTCACAATGTTTTAGAGGGGGGCGTCTCAATGAGGTTACATCTGAGGGGTGACCTGCTCCAAAGTCTCCGAACCGCTCCAGGCCAGCTCTGTCACCACCTGGCAGCCTCTGCCAATGTCCCTGGGTTGATCAGCATGTCCAAGTGAAGAAAAGCCGACATGTGGGTGGCCGTGTCACTGCCAGGCCTTTGCGAGCCTAATGCTGGGGCGTCCAGCTGAGCCCCACACGTCTTCGAGGGATGTGGGAAGGTGGGCACACCTGGGGATGTGCTTCCTTTTGTTCACAGATGCTAACCACAGCCCAACTCAAACTTTCCACAGCTTGGAAGCCTGGGGGTACACTGGCGATAAAGCTCCTGTTAAAAAAAAGGGGGCAGAAGCATGGAGATGAACAGAGTGGTTGACAATTTAGTCTCCATGACTAAATGACCCCTACATTTCCTGCTTCCTTCTGAAACTGGGGTACAGGAAAAAAGCCTGCTAGGTGGAAAGGGAGGGAGTGGGGTAAGAGCAGGGAGTGACGCTTGAGAGGGAGCCTCTGTGTTTGTCACCAGTAAGGAAAAGA